TTTTTTTTTGAAATTTTCAAATTTTGACCCGGCCGGGTTATGAAAACCATTTAATTAATTTTGCATGGCCTAATATACATCATTAAAAAAAGTTTGTTTATTTTATCTTCGGACAATTCCTTTTTCATTTTCTAATTTCGAAATTTCAAAACTAAAATAGAACTTTTCAAACTCCTATTTATTTTCAAAATAAGTTAACTCTGAAACCCTCTAATATTACGATTTCAAAAAAATACAATATCCATAAATTTTTTTTTACTTATTCGAATTATTCAAATAATTTAATAAGTTATTATAAATATTGAATCTGATTACATTGATTTTTTTTTAAATAAAGCATAGCCTGAGTTTAATATCCAATTTAAAATTATTTACTTTACTATTTTTAAATGCTATGAAAATCTCTATGAACATTTCCTGCTCTGTAAACTTTTTAAATTGTTCAATATACCGACTAGTTGCATTAATTTACTTTTTCAACAAGTTCCCTAAAGTTTGATAATGGGATTTCAGAATTAATAACTCAGCATCTAATTTTAGATAAAATAAGTGACATATTTATTTCAAAAAAGTGCATACCGAAAATGTGTACAAGGTTGTGCTCTGGATAATCATGTGATAGTCTCGATGACCACTTATCTCGATATCAACAATATTAGCAATTATAATGATCTATATTATAAAGCCAACTTTCTTTGCACTGCACCTTTAGTTCTCTTTATTTGCATATAACATTAAAGAAAGAAAATAAAAAGAATTCTATTTATTTATTTGATCTACTAATTCTACTTCAAATTCTTTAACATTAAATCAATAATTATACAACAAAACATAAAGTTATATAATAAAAAACAAGCTGTATTCTGGGAGATTTATTTATTCATTAAAAGTTCTTTAAATAACTTGTCTGTCTTTTCGTAAAGAAAATTTTTTTAGTTCTTTAAATCATCTTTAATGTTACTTTTATTATTACATATACATTATAGCCAACTCTTTGACATATTGAAAACAACAAATTCATTATAGAGAGGTTCATCATACTGTATAAAGCTTGCTATATATATAAAAATCTGTTGAATAAAATTATTAAGTTTTTAGTTCTTTAAAGTTTTTCTTTTCATTAAATAAAATATACAAATTTAGGCCATGTAAAATTAATTAATTGGTTTTTATAACCCGGCCAGGTCAAAATTTGAAAGCTTTAAAAAAATTTTTTTATATGGTTTAATAACCAGATAGGTTTTAAAAAAATATTTCATATAAATTTTATAAAATTTTTATATAAAATTTAAAAAAAAAAGCCGGCCAGCCGGGTCTATTTTAAAGTTTCATATTTAAGAAAACAAGAATTAAATTTGTATAGCCTTATTATGATAAATAATTTTTTTTAAAAAAAAAAGTTTTTATATTAAAATATTTGGCAAAGAATTTACTGTATTTCAAATTACAACCAATTTACGTACGTAAGTCTATAATATTTAATAATTGATTGAGAAATTTTGAATTCTGGAGTAGCCATCTAAACTGGCATCTGGAGCAGTGTTAGAAATCTGTTTTGAGATTTATGTTCTCATGAGAACATATTTATTTAATTTAATATTCTCGAAATTTTATTTATGTTCTCAATATTTAATCTCTAAATTTATTGATATCCCTATTTCAGAATTTATTAGACATTTATTCTAATTTTTATTCCAACTCTTCTCATATTTTAGTTCATTCATTTTTCTTTTGGGTAAATTCGGAATTCTATTTCCACCTGGAATTTTGCTATTATACTTAGAGAACATGCTTTTTTAGCATCATGTTCTCAAATTTTTTTCATAGAGAATATATATAGAATATCAAATGTTCTCAAATCTAAAAGAATATTCTCATGAGAACATGAGAACATAAGATTTTCAACACTAGTTTGGAGTGCAACCTTGTCCGTATAAATTCTATTTTTTTTAAAATATGTACTTATTTACATAATCGCTTACCAATGAATATTTATCAAAAAATAAACCTATTTAATTTTCTGATTCGGAATTCTAAAAAAGAAGATAGAATCTTTTAAACTTCTACTTATTTTGAAAAAAGTTAATTCTGAAACCCCAATAGGACTAATGAAAACATCCTTTATTTCATATTGAAATAGTTTCAAATATTCATTATTAGCTGTAATATACCTCAAGATTATTATCCCCTAAGCTAACTTCAGTATAACATTTAACTAGTTAATTTAGTACTTGGATCTGTTGAAAAATCTATTGGATAATCTGATGGATATCTGACTATATTGATCTGGTAGATATTTTTTTGATATATCCATCAGATTATCCAAAATTAGCTCAGAGATTGTGTGATGTAGTGCGATATAGGGCAATTAATAATAAATATATGACAACTGATAATTTAAAGCTTATTTTAATAAATCATTGATGTAATGTACAGAAATAAATAAACAAAAAAAAAAAGTTTTGATAAATAATAATAATTTTATTTATTATCTTGTAAACTCTACATACATACCTAATAAATATTAGTGTGTTACTTTGTGAAGCATCATATATGATTGATAATTTAACAAAAAAAATAAAAAAATAAAAAATCAAATAGCAAACTCCAGCATACTTGGCATATAAACATTAATTAATCATATTAATAAAATGGAAAACAATAATGAACATATCCAATCTATTGAAAGTGTCCTTTAAAGAATATTATATACACAACAATTACACTAGAAAATAATCAATTTAAAGAACCAAAGTTAAGAAGAGGATCAAGAAAACAAAGTTGGATATGGGATCATTTTGAAAATTTACCTACTAACCAAGAGTCCAAAGGCTGATGCCAAGAATTAAAAATAGATAAAACTATATGTAATCACATGATTGAAACTGATGGTAGCACAGGAAATTTCAGTGACCATCTTCAGAATAAGCATAGAATTACAAAATTTAGAAAACAAGAATCATATGTTTCTCAACTAATGAATAATGAAAAATCATATCAAATAAGTGATAATGCTATCTATAAAGAACAAGCTGATAATGCTTTGGTTGAATTCATAGTTATCAATTTACAGCCATTTTATATGTTAGAAAATCCAGAATTTATAAAATATTCACTAGCGCTTGGTCTATTTTACAAATTGTCTAGTAATAAAGGAATCAAAAGTAAAATTTATTTGACTTAATATTGGATGTCAACAGTTGTTTATAGTAAGTTAAAGGAATCAATGAAGTATTGTGGATTGACAACAGATTTGTGGACAGCATGTTGTAATTCAGGATTTATTGGAGTTACATATTCATATATTGATACACAATTTGAGATGCAAGAAATTACTCTAGCAATTTATGAATTAAAACATCCTTATACTGGTTTTGAATTGCTAATAGTTTAAAATTAATTCTTCAGAACTGGGACATCAATGAAAAATGTTTTATAGTAACTACAGACAATGCAAAAAATATAATAAAGGCAATCAATGAAATTAAAAGAGTTAATCGACTTGCATGTAGTGTACACACTTTACAACTTGTAGTAGGTAAAGGTCTTTTGCCAGTTAAAACATTAGTTGCACGAGCAAGGTGACTTATACAATTTTTTATGTCATCCAAACAAAGTGAGCAACTTGAATCTGCACAAGCACTATTAAATAAAGAAGTGTGTAATAATATTAATAAAAATCATGAGTATTTACAAGCAATAGCTGATGTTTCAACAAGATAGAACTCTACCTACTTGGCATGGGTTCAAATTCTTAAACTGAAGCCTGCTATCGAAATAATGCAAGTAACACTAAACTATAAAAATAATCCTGGAGTCAAAAAAGATGCACGACATCTTAAACGAATAATGTTAACACCAAATGAATGGCAGCTAATTAATGATTTGGTTAAAATTTTGCAGCCCTTTGCAGATGCTACAAAAATACTTGGTGGGAGCAAATATGCCACAATGTCATTTATGTTTACAGCTATCTCTTCATTGAAAAAATTTCTTAATACTGATAATAATGTTCAAATTATAGTAGATCTTGACAATTTAAATACTGTGTTCGATGATGACTTAGATTTACAAGAAGAGATTGAATTTATTGATGAACCAGAAATTTTAGATATTGAAACAGAAAAAAAAATAAACCAAGTTAAAATTAACACTCCACAAAACTGTGAAGGGATGGTAGATAATGTTAAGTCAGCATTGCTTAATGCCTTAAATCATTATTGGGATTATCCAACTCGTGAATCTCTTTTAGCAACAATTCTTGACCCCCAGAATAAAAAAATGGAGTATGCTACAGATGATCAAAGGTTTGAAGCTAAAACCTATTTAATAGAAGAATATGAAAACTTTCAAAAATCAGAGTTAATACCACTTAATGCAATACTAATGGATAATAATGAAGAAGAAGAAAATGTATTACTAACTGCTATATATACACCAGTTCAATATTCTGAAACAAATGAAGAAATTCAACTTTATCTTGCACTTCTGAAACTTTCAAATGCACTATGTCCATTAAAATGGTGGAATAATCAAAAAAATATTTTACCAATATTAAGTGAAATAGCGCACAAGTATTTATGTGTTCCTGCTACTTCAACAGCCAGTGAACGCCTCTTCAGTGATGCAGGAAACCTTATGACCATAAAGCGTAGTTGTTTAAATGTAGACTTATTTGAACAAATGTTGTTTCTTAAAAGAAATGTGAATTATGTTGGGTCAATGTTTCCTCAAGACTAACAAAATAGTTTCATATCAATATATAATGTAATATGCATAAGATATATAAATTATGTAACTGCAAAATATGTACTTAAATTAGCAATTTATCAAATATTTTAATGTTTCGCTTAAAATATAAATAAAAAAAGTATATATTAGCAGTATTATTAAATATAAATAAAATATACAATGGGGGTATTATTAAATATATATTTGTGATATTTATTTTAATAGATTCACCGGATTCATTGGATTTCGTCGGATAGTCTATGATCGGATGTAAAAATCCAGTGGATTAAGCTAACAGATAGTCGGATATCCGCGGATCCAAGCACTAAGTTAATTAAATAAATTTTTTAATGCTAAAAAATTTGGTCATATTAGGTCATAAATAAACCACTTTAACTTATTTCTCTTAAAAAGTCCTTTTGTAAACCTGGTAATATATTTCATGCTGTTAGGGTAACTTATGAATTGATATCTATCATTATTGAAGAATATAGTCACAACTATACTTTGAAACAGAACACAAATTCTTTTCTATTGATTTTCAATTTACAAATTATAAAACATTGCTTTTTTCTTCAGGTCAATATTCAATACTATTCAAAATTAGAGAATAGAACTTAATTCATCATTATGTATTTCTGACAATGTATGCTTACCATTTAGGTAGCCCTAATTTCCCTCAAGTTGTGATTGGATGCATGAAATCCAATATTTAATTGGATATAAACTATATCACGCCACCTTAGCACTGCCGCAAAATCAAAACATCGATTTGTTTTTCAATAAAAAAAATCTAAACCATTAACGTAAATAAGTGCTTTTGATATAAAGAATTTTTATGAAGTCTTTGTTCTGTACTTTGTTCTCATGAGAATAAATTTAGTTGAGACCTATGCTTACAGCTTGTAATTTTTAAATATACTCAACTTTGTTTCAAAATTCCTTAACCATATTCTTTTGTTTAAAAATAGTTGATAACGAACATTTGAAATGTTTCAAGTTCATCTTATTTATATTGTTGATGCAATACTGCAAATAATAAATTGTTACTAAAATTGCTAATTAATAATAGATTTGGTTTAATACTAATAATGTAATTAAAGTCCCAAAAGTCATTTTCTCGAAAGGAAATAATTAGTCAGTATTATATTTTGGTTTGGAAATTGTACAGTAATTCTGATGCAATACTGGAATAGGTGCTAGTTTGCTTATCAGTAATACTGAAAATAAATGTTACTGCTAAGTTGCGAAATAATTAGTAAATTCCAATACAAAAAAAAACTAATCTTAAATTTGTTTTCGGATTTTGTATACAAGGATAACTTAATGTAGATATATTTATTTTAATTAAAAATTTTACATAATACAGTAAATTTTTACGGTAATTTTCGATAAATTGGCAAAAATTTATTTAATTGTTCATACAAAAATTATTTAAATAAAAAAAACTTGAAAGTGCTAAATTCAAAAGAACAAAACGTTAGTATTAAACTGTGAAAAGAATTTTTTCTGAAAAAAAAATTTAGTCAATATGTAATCATTGCGAAATTAATATTTGAGAGATTATTTATTCTTTAATGAAATTTTTAGCCATTCTGATTAGTGATGCAATTAGTTTCGTCTAATGGAAAACACAATATTGGATCATTTACTAAGAAAATCCCTGTTTAGTACTTGATTTCAAGCTGATTTTCTTAGCAAATGACCCATCTGTATTCGTCCAATGGGAAATTAGTAAATCCGCAAAAATGCAACGCAGACATTTTTGAATCTTAAACATTTTAGGACTGAAGAAAAAGCAATAGCAGAAGATCTTTATATGAACACTGCCTTAACTAGAAACAATAAATTTGATCTGAATGAAAACATTAGCAGAGACTCTTAGCAAAGACATAGCTATAACTTCATTGAATCTTGGAAAGAGTGAACCAGATTCTGAAGAAGAAATATCACTAGCAGAGCTCTTTATATGAATATTATCTTGTCTTTCTTAAATTACCAATTTACGTGTAGGAATCCCAAGCACCTCACTCAATAGATAAACCAATTTTAGTAATATATACCCTGTATGTTATTATATTCATAAATGGCTATAGATAAAAATATTTATAGGTTAATAAGGATTTTTATATAATACGATAGTAAACTAAAGTTATTAAATACATACATGAAATATCACAATAATAGTTAATAGTTATCAGAAATTGAAAGATCGATTATAGTAGAATCTAAAAAATTAAATGTAAAAGATTTTACCGATTAAAATTGAATATATTATAATAAATGTAAGTACTTACCACAAATATTTAACGATCTTACAGGTGAAATAAATGAAGAATTTATTGGTTCAGAAAGATTTTTGAAGTTAAGAAGTTTACTTGTAAGTTTATCTATAGGACAAATTGGCAAATCGATTGATAACGTTGGAATAATTGCATCTGCAAATTGGAACGCTTTTAATATTGCTAATTCATTTTTATCTTTTGCAGTACTACAATCTACTATCTTAGACCATTTCACTAATTCATCGCAGACAAAAGAAGCAGTAGGCCTATTAGAAGGAACAGCATCCATACATTGATTTGCTAATTTGGTATAGCATTCAGGGGTACCTTTAGCAATTTCAGGACGTAACCCTTTACATATTTCAATAGCCAATGCTTCATCGTACTCAATATCGGAATGAGGTGGTCTTCCTGTAGATATTTCTACCATAATAATACCAAAACTATAAATGTCTGCTGCTATTGTATATGGTCGTTTATTTAACACCTCAGGAGCAACATATGGTAAAACTCCATAAATACTATCTTCTAAATCAGATTCATCATTCTTTCTAGATAATCCAAGATCTGCGATATAAGATATTAAACCTCCATTAATATATTGATTTTGCAATATATTACCACTATGAAAATCTCCATGAACATATCCTGCGTAGTGAACTTTTTTTAAATTATACGATATATCGAAAAGCTGCTTTAATTTAGTTTTCCAATTAAGTTCTCTAAAATTTGATGAGAGGAGTTTATGAAGACATCCTTTATTTGCATATTGGAACACCATCAGATATTCATCATTAGTTGTATTTTGAGTTAGCCCATAAACTTCAAGATTACTACCCATTAATCTAACTTCTGTATGACTTTTAAACTATGTAGTTAAATAAATTTTATAATGTTAAAAATTTGTCTTTATTACGGCATAATAAATAAACCATTTTAACTTACTTCTCTTAAAAAATTCTTTTGTGAACCTGGCAATGTCTTAAGTGCAACTATACATGATGGTGTACGTGATTGTGTGTATTCATAGTTATTTCCATCACATAAGACTGTCCTTTTACTATCTAACCACGTTGATGAAAACACAGAGCCAAATCCTCCTTCACCAATTTTTTGAACGTTATCTAATCTATTAAAAGGAATCCACTCGATTGCATCTTCATAATTTGTGGCTTTAAGTTGAGATTCTTTAATATAATTGTCGACATCTTTATTTCCACTCGTCCATCCTTGTGTTGTCTTTTGAGGGTCACATGTTTGACACCAAGTGGTGATGTGTTATTGAGGTTGCAATTTTCACATTTTCCAAAACTCAAATATCTTAAATATCTTTCAGAATCAGTAACTAGCATGTACTCGTTTGTTGAAGTGTCTTGAGTTAATCCATATATTTTAAGTTCATCATCCTTTAATGTGGAAATTTTTAATCTTTTAAATAAATAGAAATAAAAATATTCACAGTGAATCATATAACACATTTTAACCTACCCCGCTCAAAGCATCTAATAAGTTTTCAGATTCTTATAATAATTTAAGTTTCACATTACATGATGGTGTACGTGACTGTGTATCTTCACCTTCAATATATCGTTTTCCATCTAACCAGATTGCTGAAAATTCTTTATCAACCTTTTGAATATTATCTAATCTATTAAAAGGAATCCACTCAATTACATTTTCATATGTTGTAGCTTTAAGTTGAAATTCTTTAATGCAATCATTGACATATTTATTTCCACTCGTCCATCCTTGTGTTGTTTTCTGGGGATCACAGGTTCGACACCAAGCGTAAGATGTGTTATATCGGTTGCAATTCGTGCATTTACCATAACTAATATATCTTTTAAAGTCAAAAACTATTGCATACTCGTTTGTTGCAGTGTCTTGAGTTAGCCCATAAACTTTAAGATTGCTATCCTTTGATTGCATAAAATCTTCAAACTTACAAATATAAATTAGAAATATATATATAGTATTAAAAAAGCAAACATATATAAATAACATTAACTTACTTTTTTTAAAAAATCCAATGTATTTTGAAAACCATGTAATTTTTTAAGCTCCACTTTACACGGAGATGTGCGTGACCGTTGTGAGGGCTAAATCGACCCCTAGTGTCGAAATAAGGCTTCACGGGTATCGACTAAGGACTAATCTAATCCAAATCAACACTCTACGGCACAATAAACCACCAAACTCTATCTGGACCCCAATGGTGGAAGGCACGAAAGAGGGCGTGGAAAGACTTGGTCCGAGTTATTAGGGCCAAATAGAGCTCTAGACTA